GAGCCTTTATCTACCCCACAAATGATATGTATCTGTTTACTACATTCTTCAAACTTCACAATGACCACTACAGCTAAATTCATAAAACAAAGAGTTGAACATGTCATAATTTCCATTCTCTCTTCTACTAATGTAATTTACAATGAGCTAAAATGTAACACTGGTATTTTTATTTTTTACTCTGTAGAAGTGTGGAAATCATAATCTGCTTTGCAAAACTGCAAAATTGGTGTTTCCTTAAAATTCAGGACAGTAGAAAAAAATAAAAGCCAGGTGTTGGTGGCTCACGCCTGTAATCCTAGCTACTTAGGAGGCTGAGACCTAAGGATCACTGTTCAAAGCCAGCCTGGGCAGGAAAGCCCGTGAGACTCTTACCTCCAATAAACAAACAGAAAACTGGAAATTGCACTGTGGCTCAAGAAGTTGAGTACTCATCTTGAGCTGAATAGCTCAGGTACAGTGCCCAGAGTTCAAGCCCCACGACCACCACCACCAACAACAACAACAAAAAAAGGGGGGAAATAAAATGTTACTATAATTCACTGAGATTTAAGACAAATGTTAAGTATATTGGCTAGAAGCCTGCAGTTGAATATCAGTCACCCTTGCGTATGGAACAAAGGTAAGCAAAGCACTTATCTCTAACAGGAAATGTCTAAGTCCCAAAAACATCGACTCTTGACCAGCCATTCTCCCTTTACAATTAAAGGACTTGGTTTGAGTTTAGTTATAATATGTATATAAGTGATTTTACTTAAGATATCTTTTACTTAAGATATCATCTTTTATTATATATTTTATTATAAAGATATTGTACAGAGGAATTACAGTTGCATGAGTAAGGTAATGAGGACATTTCTTGTACAGCATTGTTACCCCCTCCTTTGTTTGTCCCCTACTATCCCTTCCCTCTCCTCCTCTCCTACTACACCCTCCCCCCACCCCTGAAGTTGTAAAGTTAATTTTCAACATAGTGTCTTGTAGGTCTCATTGGGTCAACTTATATCCTTGTTTTAGCATTTTGTTATTTCCCATCCCCTCCCCAAATCAGAAAAATGTATATATAAAATGCAGGGCACTGGAACCATTTTGGAAAGTGGAGTTTCCTCAAGACTACACACAGAGCTCCCCTACAACCCAGCAATCCCACTTTTGGGCATTTACCTAAATGATCAAAAACATGACCATACTAAAGCTACCAGCACAACTATGTTTATTGCAGCATTATTCACCATGGCTAAGATATGGAACCAATCCAGATGCCCCTCAGTAAATGAATGGATCTATCTATCTATCTATCTATCTATCTATCTATCTATCTATCTATCTATCTATCTACATATATTTCCTAACAAATGGGGCAATGTCATTCTTTCTGATGTCAGAAAGAATGACATTGCCCCATTTGTTAGGAAATCGAAAGACTTGGAAAAAATTATATTAAGTGAAGTAAGTCAGACCCAAAGAAACATAGGTCCCATGGTTTCACATCTTACTTTTTTTTGTTTTTTGTTTTTGTTTTTGTTGGTTGTGGGGCTTGAACTCATGGCCTGGGAGCTGTCCCTCAGCTCTTCAGCTCAAGGCTAGCGCTCTACCACTTGTTCCACAACACCACTTCCAGTTTTCTGGTGATTAATTGAAGATAAGAGTGTCACAGACTTCCTGCCTGGGCTGGCTTTGAACCATGATCCTCAGATCTCAGCCTCCTGAGTAGCTAGGATTACAGGTGTGAGCCACTGGCGCCCGGCTCACATCTTACTTTTAAGAAAGACAAAAATCTCTTTTTTACCTCTTATCCATTCTGAAGTTAGCTTTAGGATGGTCCCAAATATGCCATCTCCCTAGTTTGTAGATCAAAGACTTCTATGCCTGTGCAATAAATTGTTACCTTATGTGGTGAAAAATAGGATTAAATTAAGACCTTTCAGAAGAGGAATTTATCTTGGGTTGCCAGGATGAGTTCTAAACACTATCACGTATATCCTTATAAGAGAGACAGCAGCTATTTCAGTATAGGAAATTCCTCCCATACTGAGGGAATGTATAGTCATCTCCTATGTGAACAGACACCATAAGGCAGAAAGAGCAAAAACATATTGACAGACCCCCACAGAACCCCACAGAACATAGCTCTATTAACCCTTTGATATCAATCCTATGATACTAATTTCAGACTTTCAACTTCCTTGACTATGAGAACTTAAACTTCTGGGGTTTTTTAGCTAGTGAGTTTCCAGTACATTATTCCAGCCGACACAGGAAACAAATGTATTCTTCCATCTTTGACACTGTTTCTGGAAGTGTGATTGAACTAAAGGAAAATCAAGAATGTGATTGGGTAAATTGCCCAGATGTCAAAATGGTCCGGTCACTCCAGAAGGATGCTGTGTTAAATCTGATTTGTAAACAATCGCATGCAGTGATTACAATGACATCTTTCACTGCCCAGCTGCTCTGCTGGCTTGTAAGTGGAGAGCCTCAAAGAGTAGGTTAGAGATATTTTTAGGCTGCAAAATGGCCTTTCCTCTAAGCAGCTCAACTTCAGACCCAGAAGGTATAGAAGCAAGGAAGAAGGCGTATTGCCACCAGCATGTGGACACATGGTTTAGTTGACCTCAGATCTCACGAATCAACTGGTGTGGGTTGGGTGCCAACAAAAATCATACGTGTGATCCTTATAATTGATAAACTATATAAAAGCATCTCAGTCTCCAGGAGAAAAGAAGCAACAATATATTGGTAGCATATGTGCTTGAAAACTAAGAAAATACAAAAGGAAAGGTACCAATGTTAGGAACTCAAAACTCATTGAGATGGTAAGATAAGTTATCGATTGTCACTTCTTTGACTATTGATTGGAAAGCCCACTCTAGCAACAGTGATCATTTTGTCTACAAATGAAATCTGATCTCCATGTGTTCAATAATTCTCTTCCTCTGCTACTCTCAGATTGTATAATAGCTCCTAAAAACAAAGTGTGTATATGTATGAGTAATTAAAAGATAGGCTCTTTGTAGTATAGACAGAATTGTTAATAGGTTCATAGATGAGAAGTTATTTGGAGAGTGGTAAAAAGTAACAAAATGTTTTTAAAAGACTTCCTAATAATCTTTTAACTAGAGATATTTCACTGATATTTTTAAGATTGTATATTTTATGCAAGGAGGAAATAATATGATTCAAAAGGGTACCTAAAGTTGTATGCTTACAAAAATCCATAGACATATGATATTTTTACTATAAATCTGGTTAAGTATAATAAAATATTCTTTATTAAGAAAAGCTAAAAAAAAAAGAAACAAAATCTGCTAATACATGTATTTGGAGAGGGAACAATTGGTGTGGTTTTATGGTCTGAGTTCATTTGCAAATCCTGAAAGGACATAGCTAGTAAAACTCTTTTTATTTCTCTTTTTTCATTTTGCTTATTACAAAATAAATTCAATAGCGGGCAAAGTATAAAATGGTCCTTTAGAATAATTTACAATATTTAAAAGAAGAGATAAACTTTCAACTTTAGTATATATGAAAATGTTTTAGGAAAGAACAGGAGAAAGGAATGAGGAAGAAAGAAAAAGAGAGGGAAATATATGTTTTCCATCCAAATTTTAACTGATTTGAAACTCATATTTGAATTCCTTTTCATAATATAAAACTTTACAATGATTCTCAATAGTTTGGTATTATGAGTCTACTTTTGTATAGATTGAGCTTATTCATAAAAATTTGATAAACACTGAAAGGAAAGGAAAGTACTAGATGTTTTACCTTTCTTTTTTTCACCTGAATGTCAGAATACTCTCTTGGGTGGGGGTACAATTATCACTAATGAGTGCTGACTAGTGTTTTTAAAATTTATTTCCTATTGCTTTTCTTCTAGTTTTTAAGCCCTTCCTGCCTCTGTGTAATAGTTCACTTAAATAGAGAGGATAAGCCGGGTGCTAGAGGGTTCATGTTTATAATCTTAGCTACTCAAGAGGCTGAGATTTGAGGATCATGGTTCAAAGCTAGCTCAGGCAAGAAAGCCCATAAGACTCTTATCTTCAATTAGCCACCAGAAAATCAGAAGTAGTACTGTGGTTCAAAGTGGTAGAGTGTTAGCCTTAAGCAAAAAGAGTTCAGGGACAGCACTAAGGTCCTGAGTTCAAGCCACAAAACCAACAGCAATAACAAAAAATAGAGAGAGTAAAGTAATTTAATAAAAGTGAGGAAGAAAATAACTTCACATGTTGGTACCAGAAGACAGTGGGTTTTCCTAAGTTATTTTAGATCAAAGCCCAATGGATCCATTTTTTAGACTTCTTGGCAATAAAAGGGGGTTATTTTCACTAAACCTACTAATTTGGCTGTCTAAATACTAGCAAAATTTGAGTTCTCTGTTTCTATTTTCTATAAAAGTAAGTTTCACTTATTTTCAAGCCAATAGTGAATTAGATGTCTCTTTTTCATACTGCTCTTAAGCGAACCCAAAGGCAGCTTTGAAGAAGGTGCAGATGGCTGAGTTCTGTTTTGTTGTGCAAATGTTGCTTCTGTTTCTAGAGGGAAAAACCTTGAGATACAAAACAAAAGATCATTTTGAAGAACACTGCATGAATTAATATACTGAAAATGAGAATCCACCTTGCAGATGCCAATGAATACTCGAGATGATAGGACAAGGGAAAACAGAAAGGTTAATGTGAATGCATTCTTTTTCCTTTTAATTTTTTGGGGGCCTGTCTTTGGGCTTGAACTCAGGATCTGGGCACTATCTTTGAGCTTTTCTGCTCAAGACTAGTACTCTACCACTTGAACTGCAATTCTGCTTCTGGATTTTTCAATGATTAATTAGAGATAAGAGTCTCACTGGCTTTCTCCCTGGCTAGCTTTGAAACAATCCTCAGATCACAGCCTCCTAAGGTGCTAGGATTACAAATGTGAATCAGTGGCACCCAGCAATACGAATGTATTCTTAAAAGCAAGTATTTCATGGTTGTTTGCTTTCTTTCTTTCTTTGGCAGTATGAAAGAAACAGGGACAGGCCAGAAGCCATGGAGAAGCCTCACATCATCCACTTGCAAGCAGTGCTCAGGAGTGTACACCAGCCCTGTTTGTGGTTCTGATGGCCATTCCTTCTCTTCTCAGGTAAAGACAACTGCACTCATTCACTGTGAAATCAATAAGGCCATTAACAAACCCTAAAAACACCCACTCTGTAAAGTCATTGTTCAGGGAATACATCCATCTTTTAAAATAAACATGAATAATCCACTGGTTTGCAGCAGGATTCATTGCATATTTGTTTCTCTTCTGTCATAATATTTAAAATATAAACCCTAAAGCAGTGAATTTTCTGAGCCTTGGTATATGAAAACCAATAAGTTGTCTGTTCTTGCTGTGGATGTGGTCAGAAATACTAGCATCATGTACAATCATATTAATAATTATTACCATTCTAATGATCATAACAGCTAGAATTTATTACTATAATTTTTCTTCATCTTAGATGGTATCTCCTACAGTACCTCAGTTAAGCCTCTTTCTTTTTCTTTTTGGTTGGTCGTGGGGCTTGAACTATAGGCCTGGGCACTGTCCCTCAGCTCTTCAGCTCAAGGAAAGCACTCTACCACTTGAGCCACGGCACCATTCCTTCAGTTAAACCTCTAAGGAAACCTTTGTGTTTTTTTTTCTTTTAAATAAATGGGTATTATAAGGCCTGGAAAGTTATAACAATATGATCAGCTTCACATGCCTAGTTAACGTCAAAGCCAAGATTTCATGTCCTCTCTTAGTGCTCTGGTCTTATTTCCACCTACTTCTGCCTTTCTATTTGCTGTCCCATATTGGTTAAAAAATTCATCATAGTTAAATATGAAATTGTTTGGTATAACCATAGTGGGCTGAACCTTGGGATAAAGACAGGATTTTCTCAGGCTTGTTTCAGGGTGTTAACAGAGCTTAAAAATGAGGCTGTAAATTCATAGTCAAACAGTTTTGTTCCCTCTGTTCAAGTTGCTTGTTGACATATGAGGACTGTGAAACATCTTGACAGTGACAGAAAAGCTGCTTCCTGGTAGTGGTTTCGACTCTTATGGTAAGAATTTAGCAGTCACACCTGTCATTCCTGCATCCAAGATGACCACAGGAGAGAATGACAGAGGAGGAACAGAAAGATGGGATTGGTTTCTTTAGGTTTAGGACATGAGACCATTAAACTGGAACAGGACATAAAGAACACTAAACTCTCAGTGGTTTAAGACGTTTCTGCAGAGCTTAAAGACGTCTTGATTACTCTTCTCTTGCTGTCTTCAGCTTTAAAGAGAAAGGATTGCTATTTTAGGATTTATATCTAGATACAGAGATGTAAAGAAAACTGACACAGAGTTTAAGTTGGTCAAGAAGGCAGATGCCATATGAAAGTAGAGGCGCCAAGCATTTGTGCTGATTTTAGTTACCAGATGCCAGACCCAAGTGAAGATTCAGTGCTTTTTCGTAATGGCAGTCCCTCCACTCCTTGTCCCAGGCCTTCTGTTAGGGCTTGTTTCCCAGCCTCGCTGGTGTTGTGAGTCCTGCAGTTTTGACACTACCTGGGAGGCTTTGTTTGATTCTTTGAGAAGTATAAAATATGTGAAGCACCCTTTTGACATGTCTATTTATTATGACTACATGAATTCAGGTATATTTCTGATTCCGTGAGATTTTCCATTTTCTTTGTGTGTGCTGGGTACACTCTGTGAGCCTAATCTCACACATCACATGGTCTCATTAACATGTTCAGGAAAATGAATCTACTTGTGAATTATGATTTTAATTTTTATTGGTATTAGTGTAATCTTCAATAAGCATTTTATCTATTTTATAATATATAGCAAGGAGAATGGTTGAAAATCCACATGGATCTTTAGCAACCTCAAATCACCACTGTTGTTTCTATACAGTACAATTCTGTGAATTAATTTTCTACCTTGGACCAATCACTCTAATCTTAAGGTTTTTCCCTGACCAAAGTAAGACTCTAATGTATGAAACAATAAGACTAAATTGACTGCTTATTTCCATTAATAACTTAGTCTAAACTGCTTTTACCAACACATTCTGAAATGTTATTGTGATTAAAATTCAAAGTCAAGACTTTAGCATTTTTATTTCTATGAGACAAAATATTGTCTTGGACTATTTAGATACTAGATCAAGACCAAAAATCATAAAAGGAGGGCCTTCATGAAGTACTGTTTTATTGTTTTCCTAGCAATCACATATCAGAGGATGAAAATAGGTCAGAGAAATTTCCAGGAAACTCTTGATTCATGTGGCTTTGTCAATACACTTTGAGAACTGTGATAAAGTAGTTTGAACAACTTTTGGATAGAATCTCAATCCTGATTTTCAAGCCTTTTGCATTCATATTTTATTAATTGAACCCCACCCGGTATTTGAATATAATTGTCAGCTCAGTTAATTATAGTCCAATGAAAACAAATTAAATGGAGTTTGTTATTTCAAAGAATAGTAGATTCAAATGCTGAGATATGGTATGGGAAAGAAGTTATTTAAAGAATATATTACTCAAATGTAGCAAGGATATAATTTTAAACTATTTATTATGTTGAATAAAGTGACCAAGTTTAAATAATTATTTCATTGAAGTTCAGATTTTGAAAATTGTTAGTATTTATGAAAGTCCTCAAAAAACATGCATACAGAGAAACACAAATAAACACATGAGAATCTATAAAAATACTTATATCTCAAAAACATTAGAACATTTGTGATTTTCATTAAAATTATTTTTATCGTATTATCTTTCTTTTATCCAGTTAAGAAAAATGATTCATTTTTTAGAAGTCTACTTAATTTTTCTTTTTAAAAGAACTACCCAGCCAGGTGCTGGTGGCTCATGCCTGTAATCCTCACTCCTCAGGAGGCTAAAGTCTGAGAGTCACTGTTCGAAGCCAGAATAAGCAGAAAAGTCTGTGGGATTTAGGCACAATAAAACACTCAGGACGGGCCAGGGCTCATGCTGGTAATCCTAGCTACTCAGGAAGCTAAGCCCTGAGAATCAGGTTCAAAGCCAACCCAGGCAGCAAAGTCTGTAAGACTCTTACCTCCAATTAAACACCAGAAAACCAGAAGTGGTGCTGTGGCTTAAGTGGTAGAACATTTGAGCACAAAGAGGCTCAGCAACAGCGCCCAGGCCTAGAGTTCAAGCCCCACAACAGACAAAAGAAAAAAAAGAAAAGAAAAAGCCAGAAATGGTACTGTGGCTCAAGAGGTAGAGAGCTAGCCTTGAGCACAAAGAGGCTCAGGGACAGTGCCTAGGCCCTGAGTTCAAGCCCCAGGATCAGCAAAAAATAAATAAAATAAAAAGAGCTACCCATTTTAGAACTCTTTTAAGTTTAGAAATGTCAGAAAAATAAAAAAAAATAAAATTCTGTTCAAGTTTATTTGAGAGGTAATCATTCTTGAAATTGACACAAAAATGAAGACCTTCCTTTCTTCCCCTTAGGCATGGTCTGTTTTGATTGCCTTTGTCAAGCTTCAGTAACAGCCAGGAATTGGCCCAAAGTATAGCCTTTGTGTCGGTTTTGGATGCATTTGTCACTTTACGTAAATTGTACATTACATTTTCTGTGAGCATAAATCAATTAAATAATACTAATGTTTTCGAACGGAGCAGGACATCCATAATATAAATTCCCTGCGGACAAGCAGAGTTGATTTTAAAGTCTTCTCTACTCTATGCCATGTGAATTTCCTATAAATGAGCATTGCTTCTAAAATTGTGTGTGTGTGTGTGTGTGTGTGTGTGTGTGTGTGTGTGTGCGCGTGGTAGAAGCAAAGTAAAAGCATATCCACTGTACATATGAATTCCCAGCACTGGCTACAGAGATTCTGGTTAAATTGGCTTCAGATGAGCCTCTGCACATAGAAAATTTAAAGCTGCTTAGACAATTTTCATTTGTACCTGTAGATAAGAATCACTATTTAATTCATTCATAGTATTGCCTCTGAGTTCATAAGCACATGTACATGTCCTTAACCAATAGTGTTCCATTAAAGAAGTGATGAATTTATTTTTTGATATATGTGAACTTCAACATACTACAATTATGTTTAACTCTCATTTTTCCCATGATTGAGATGTTATTTATTATCAGTCACTATTTATAGAAACTGTAAAAAATAAACTTACCATTTATAAGTAGATAGTAGGCTTCTGACACCTAATTATATGTATGATATGTTGTATCTAACTTAATTCTGTCATTTGATTCTGTCTTTCTTCCTCACTATGTTATGTCTGAGTTAGGATAATTTTCACTTGAAGAACAACAATGTGAAATTGTTGTGCATCATTCCTATTGAAAGGCTCTATGACTTATTTTGTCTGACTTTTGGCTCAGGTGTAGCAAATTGGTCCAGACTGTAACCCACACACATTTTCATACTTAGATAAGCTCTTAATAAAGGACATAGTATTAAAGGAAGTGTTATGACTGAATTTCATTTTGAAATCCCAGGTTTAAGTGGAATATGACAGTTCTTCTAGAAAATCTGATAGGATGTCATGTTCCCTGGGATGAATCTCCATATTTGAGAAGAACTCTAACTCTGAAAAAAAGCTGCCATTTCTTTGCAATGGTTTGGCTTCAATGTTCCCCAGGCTTAGCTACCGTGGGCATATTTTAAATCACAAATAAGTTACACAGTTAGTGGGAAAATGTGACTTCCTAAATGTGCCATTTTATCAGAATGTATAGCTAAACAACACTCGCAAGTCAGCTAGAAGTGCATACTGAATTTACCTTTAAAAACACTAACTCTGGAGTAGTCATATTATTTCACAGCATATTATTTATGTAAATAAAAACCTCTGTACTTCATCTGCATTATCTGAAACATTTTAATTTTTCCCACAGAAGGCACTTTTGAACTGTTTTTGATGGTCCTGGGGCTTGAACTCAAGGCCTGGGAGCTGTTCCTGAGCCTCTTTGTTCTGAAGACTAGTGCTTTACCATTTGAACCATACCGCCAATTCTGGATTTTTTTGAGTAGTTTATTGGGGATAAGAGCCTCACAGGTCCTTTTCTGCCCAGCTTGTGATCCTCAGATCTCAGCCTCTTGAGTAGCTAGGATAACAGGCC